AACACTGTTGTTTAAAAAACTCACTCCGCTATACATCTTTCACAACTACACGTCTTCTGTTTTCACCAATAGTAACTGGTTGTTTGCTAGCCTCAGAATCCACTTAGAAGTTCATCACGACTGGCCTTAGTCGAAGCACTTCAGATGTCCCGTAGTACTATGAATTACTTATCGAATAACGTAGACTGCAGGTGATCAACCCAATGTCGAATACAAAATGTACGGGTCTCAAAGCCCGCACAGACCTATACAGAATCACGTGATTAATGCCCCGTATCCCTGTGGATGTTCAGACATTGTTAGCCCCATCCTTCTGTTTGACTAAACCTGTTGAGGATTTAACGCTAGTGGCTGATCGTGCAGCACAAGTACAATACATAGCCACTAAGGGTCCACCAGTCACGGCACGACCCCGTCTACTGACCCCGGACAAGAAAGCTTTTGCGAAGCGTTGGTTTGACATTTACTTTCAAAAGGTGTCATACACCCTCATATTATTTGGCCGAATCCTATTCATCTGGTTCTTATAAAAGGTATAATTAGCTGAAAACCATTTGGCGCCTATCGGTCACTTAAAGCAATAGTTATCCGACCCCTCACATACACAGCATTACGGCATCACTTGATGGCAAGAACATTTTTTCTAAGATCTATCTGGTGAGAGCTTATCATCAAATCCCAATAGCGACAGTAGATGCGAAAAGAACGCCCTTACAAATTTCAAATTTCAAAATATTCTTATACTCGAATTTAAAACACAATTTCAGGCTAACAAATGTTTTCCATATCTCATAATCTTGCCGTCACAGTGTATAAGAGGGAAAAACCTAGGGGTTGAGGGAAGAGCAGTAAAATGTGAGGAATCGTTCACTTCGTGTTTGTGTGTCTGTGCGTGATGCACACGCATTTCCAGATCTGTGCTTTCGGGGTTTTTAGTTATGCTACGTTCGTCGTATGATCCAGTTAAAATACTTAAAGAAATGAAGTCTTTTTACTTCCACTTTTAGTTATTGACTACACAAACGTATAGTTCTAAGGGATCCTCTAGTGGCTTGAGACCGACAGTGTAACAAGCTCGAGAGTTGTCACCACCATTGTCTGCCTATTCCGCATGTATGCTTTCGAATGGTTGCAGGCATTGATGGCTTGGAGCATTCGCTCGTGCATCCTTCTCCTTTGTAGCATAGATTCCGCCAGGATCTTCTACAGCTAGGTATTTCATCTTTGTTTAAGTCACTGCCACCTCCTGTGAAGTAACTTTCACATTTAATGGTGCGTGAGTTCAGTGTTACACCTTCTCTCGCTTAGCACTTTTCGCTTTCAGACACTCTCGAGCATGGTCAGGCTAAAACTCCGGATGGGAACAATATACTTTCCCTCGACTAACCGGCTGTTCTTCCTGATCCATACCGGG